TTTTTTTTTTCTTTCTATTTTAAAAATATTTCTTTTGAAATTCTGATTAAATAAGCTTAATATGTTAAAAAAATTTGTAAACTGGTAGTGGCAATTAGGAGGGACCATGAGAAATCATGAGCTTGAGCTACATTTCCCATGGATTTCTCATTTCTCGGAACTACCTTTTTAAAATTTTAATTTTCTCCATATAGATGAATTAATACTAAGGTTTAAGAAATAACAAAGAGACTATTACTAAATAAAAGTTGAGAAAATAAGAGAAACATACATAAGTCGACATCAACAAAAAAAAAAAAAAACACATACATAACCACAAAATTCAGAAACGCATGAAATCAGAACGGTACTCTTCTTGAACTTTTTCGTTTATTAAATCCCAAAAGCTCGTGGACATGATGAAATATCCTCCCACATACAATTTTTGTTTTTGTTTTTGATTAGCGTGGAGATCCTACGGCTTTCTAGACCGAAAGACTAATCCCACGGGCCCACGTTCCACCATCCATTTCTCTGTGGTGGCCATGAGTCGAACCCGGATGCCCACATACAATTCAATATATTTATTTTTCGTGACATACCTAATCGTGCCACGGAGATTATGATTACGATCATCCCCGATTTTAAACCCTTCCAGCTCTTTTTCGTTAACATAATCTCCTGATACCTTCAAAGTCTCTAAAGCCTGATCGAATAGTTTTTGGGCAAGTAATCGGTGATATTCGTGTCATCTATAGCGATCGGACGTAATTTTTCTTTAATTTCGTTGATGAAGGTTTGGAAATGCTCTCTAGCCTCTGGGAAAGCACCAGCGCCGCCGCTGCCTCCGGCTTGGCCGCCGCCTTTTCCAATGCCAGGGTTGCGGCCTTGGCCACGCTTGAGACCTCCTACTTTTTTGATGATTCGTTTTATCATGGGATCAATAGCTCTTTGGCTTTGGCAAATAAGCCTTGTTCGCGATGGATGATGGTGCTACCGGATCTTGGTACTGTAGCCTGGCTAGGCCCACCCTCCAAAGCACTTACGAGATTTGATATTGAAGGTCTTCCAAAGCAACATATGGACAATGGACGAGTCGTGTTATTCATTTTGATATTTCTTTGGGATTCGTTTTTTCGTTTCTTTTGTTTATTTTGAAAAAATTTGCCATTTTTAATGACGAAACTATTCCTCGATAAGTACATGAGTCTTATTTTTCGTATGCAAGAAGAAAATGGCAAATTTTGTGATATGTTCTGATCGAACTTATCTTGCACACTAGAAAGAATCAATCATGCTATCAATGGAGGAGAGAGACACAGTAAATAATCATGGAGTAGAGAGACATGAATGGGAGACAACGGTGAAATTAAGTCTAGTCATTATCTTTTCTTAGAAATGGTCATTACAAACAGGAGGCGAGAACCTAAGGAGCAAGCTATGATGCAACTACTTGATGCAACTAAGGGGCCTTTATTCGTAGATTGATTTATGTGGATTTTATAGAATTTAAAAATTTTGAGATTTTATAAATTTCAATGGATTATCATTGATTCTTAAAATATATATTCCTAGGATTGTTATTGATGTGTCATAGATTGATATGTATTTGTATTAACCCTTTTCTATAGAAGGTAATATATAAGATAACCCTTTTTATATACTAAGTGAGC